CAAGGCCTGTCCTGCCAAAGTGGGGCTCTGACCACCACTTCCTGGCTAGAAAGAGGTGCCTTGGCATCAGCAGAGACAGTCTCTGTGGAGGTGTGACTAACAGGAGGGGGAAGTGTGCTTCGTAAACTGTCAAATTCTATACACATGCTTGTTGGCTGTTATTCTCTTTCAGAGTGTTAGCCTTGGAAACTGTAACAAGTGGCAAGGCAGGTGATGGCATCGTGACAATGAAACAGGATAGCCAATGCTGGTCTGTAGAGTTAGAGCTGCTGACTGCCGGGGAAGGATGTGGACTCTTGGAACAAAATTGAGCTCGGCCTCCTCTAACTTGTGTGAAACAGCCTGTGAAGGCGTGTGCTGCTGCGGGTCTCATTCAGATTCCTTGGAGGCGTTGCCCACTCCCAAGTGAAGGCCTTGGACAAGACAGCTCTTTTATCAGAGGGGGAACACCTGTTTTATTTATTCTTTTATCCATTCAATCGCTGTTTATTGGACACCTATTTTGTGCTAGGTCCTATAATAAAAAGTATGATTACAACTGTAGTAAACACTATAAAAGAGATATACAAGGTGCTATAAGGGTCTATAATCCAGACGTGTAAGGTATATAGTCTGCTATATAAGGGCCTATCATCAGGATAGCTGAACTAGTCTTGTAAAACCAAGGAAGTGTTGATAATGAAGCTGAGATCCAAAGAGTAGGGAGACATCAACTGGGTAAAGAGGAGACCAGGAACAACCCAGGAATAAGGAACAGTCTCTGCAAAGACCCTGCAACGGGATAGAGAAAGACGTGTATCAGTTTTTATTCTGTCAAGTCACTCCAAAACTTACTGGCTTAAAATAACATCCTTTCTTTTTTTTCTTTTTTTTTTTTTTTAATAGAGTCACACTGTTGCCCAGGCTGGAGTGCAGTGATGTGACCTCAGCTCACTGCAGCTTCCGCCTCCCCGGTTCAAGCGATTCTCCTGCCTCAGCCTCCCATTGGGATTACAGGTGTGCACCACCACAACCAGCTAGTTTTTATATTTTTAGTAGAGACAGGGTTTCACCATGTTGGTCAGGCTGGTCTCAAACTCCTGACCTCAGGAGATTCACCCCTCTCAACCTCCCAAAGTGTTGGATTACAGGCGTGAGCCACCGTGCCTGGCCTCATCCAGGCAATGTTGTAGGTCAGAAATTTGGCTGGGCTCAGCCAGATGGCTCCAACCCTCTGGGTTATGTAGTGGCTGATCTCAGCTGGGGCTCACTCATGCATCTTCAACAGTTGCCAAGTCTGTGAGGAACTGGCTGATCGATGGCTGGGACTCCTCTTGGTGGGCTTTTCTTCTTCAGCAAGCTACCCTGGGCTTCCTGCACATGGCAGTCGAAGGTTTCCAAGAGGCAGCAAGAAAAAGCACGCTCCAAAGCTCAAGTACTTTTCACATCTCTGCACTTGCTACTGTTCCACTGACCAGAGCAAGGCATGTGGCGGAACCCAGAGTCAGCGTGGGAAGACACTACCAAACAGTGTGGGTACAGGGAGGCATGAACAAACTGGAGGCTGTAACTGCAACAATCCACCACCATGTGTTCATGAAATCAAAGCAGGAAGGCTGGAGAGTGAAGAGTGGAGGGAACCGTGGTACTGGATGAAGCTTGGGGTGGCAGGGGCTAGAACATGCAGACTTCAAACAGTGCTGGGAGAGTCTGGTCATTATCCTGAAAGCAGGCAAGCTCTCTGGTTTCTGAATTTCTCCTGTGGGCATGGTCATAAAAACTAAATCCCTTGAAGGCTAAACTGTCCTTGGTGAACTGGCAAGCTTTCCAGGCTTGAGGAGTGGAGCACAGGATCTAGTACATGGCCTGGCCCCACACAACCCTGCCTGAAGCCTGTGCAGCTATCAATGCCCCAGGCCTTCCCCACTCTGTGCCTTTGCACCGCTTCTTCCTCAGCTTCTCCATAGGGCCAGCTCCTACATCCCCAAGAATCAATTCAGGCACCACCTCCTTAGGGAAGACCTCCCTGATTTCTCTAAGCTCAAAGACAGGTAGAATGAGACCATGAGGCCTAGCAAACCAACATGTGCCTCATTACAGTGGCCTTGTGTTTTCCAGGACCAAGTTGGTATGAGGCCCAGCCCTGCCCGTGTGGGCAGAACACTTCACCCAGGGTCTCCCTATCTTTTTGCCTGTTTGCCTTCCACTAGACTGCATTTCTTGAAGGAATGCCTATAATTCCAGTGCCTACACATATTTGAATGAATAAATGAATGAATGAATGAACCCATCACTAAACAGGGCTTTCCTCCAAAAGCTCCAGCCAGCCTTATTAAAGTCTTCTGTCATGGCAGTTGAGGGAGGGTTTCTCTCCAGCGAGGCCAAGATCTCCAGTGTCTCCCACTTCCAACCTGAAGCCACGCACCCAGAGGAGAGAAGTCTTTGGCTCAGGGACAATCCACCACAGGGCAGTCAGAGGTGAAGACAAGTGCCTCGGCATCACTTACCGTAACAGGGGAAGAATCAGCCAGCTGTGGCCATTGGAGCAAACTTTCCCTGGATGCTGGAACAGCCAGCCAGGGGCACTGAGTGAGGACCACTTGGGCACTGATGCCATGAAGCCAACTGATGAGTCAGCTTCCTCATTGCAGCCTGGAGAAGCAGCTCCTATGGATCACAGGCTGAGAAGAGCCCCAGGACCTGCCCACCAGTCCTGACAGAGGCTTTTCCAAGTCAGCTTCCTGGTCTTAAAGAATGATGGTGTAAATTAGCCTGCCTCTCTTGCGCAGAAGAGAAACTGAATCTCAGGGAGATCAGCTTTGGACTCATCAGCCACCTTAACAGTTATGGCCATCCAGATAAAAGACTACATTTCCCAACCTCCATTGCAGCTAAGTACGGCCAAGTGGCCAGGCTGTAGCCAATCAGACATGAATGAAAGCGATGTCTATAATTTTGAGATTGTTCTCATACATGGCAGAGGTGTACTGTCCTTTCCTGTTTTTTTCCTTCCTGCTGCCTGGCAAGCCTTCTAGGTCCATATAGCCATGGGCAATACCTTAGAAAGATGAAGCAACAACATAGAAAGAGCCAGGACCCCGAGATCTGGGCACATGACCTGGAAGCCACCATACCAGACCTAAACAGCCTATGCCTCTTAAATGAGAGTGAAAGAAAATAGGCTATCTAACCACCTCACACCCATGAGCATGGCTAACTTTCAAAAAAAGAAAGAAAATAACAAGAATTGGTGATGTGGAAAAAATTGAAACCCTTGAGCAGTGTTGGTGGGAATGTAAAATCATTCAGCTACTGTGGAAAATAGTGTGGCAGTTCCTCAAATGATTGAAAATAAAACTGCCACATGATCCAGCAATTCTATTTCTGGAGATATGCCCAAAGAATGGAAAGCAGGGTCTCAAGAGATCATTGTACACCCATGTTCACAGCAGCAGTATTGACAGTAGCTAAGACAAGGAAACAACCAAGTGTTCATCTAGGGATGAATGGATAAGCAAAATATGGTATGTCCATACAGTGGAATATTATTCAGCCTTAAAAAGAAAAAGAGATTTTGACATACGCTACAACATGGATGAACCTTGAGGACATTACACTAAGTGAGATGACCCAGTCGTAACAGGACAAACACTGTATGGTTCCACTTACACGAGGTACTAGAGTAGTCAAATTCCTAGAGACAGAAAGCAGAATGGTGGTTTCCAGGCACTGGAGGTGGGTGGGCAGGTGAGGAGTTTTTGTTTAATGGGTCCAGAGTTTCAGTTTTACAAAATGAACAGAATTACAGATCTGGATGGTGGCACACGTTATGAATGTATTTAATGAATGGCACACCTTAAAAAGGTTAAGATGGTAAATTTTATATGCTATTATTTTATCCCAATAAAATTTTTTATAAAAGAAAATCACCTATCTTGATTAAGCCACTATTAGTTAAGGCATTTGCTAGAGCTGTTGAACTGTCTACATCCTCCTGACACATGTAAAATAGCCCAGGACTGAGTTTCCTCAGGAAGCCCTTCTTCCAATTGGCTCGGACCCCTAGGGCTGCCTAATCACCAGACACTCCACTGTCCCAGAACAACAAAGCTGTGACCTGCAGCCACCCCAGGGACAGGTTATTTTCTTGGAATAAGAGCTGGGGAAGCTGTCTGGAGGAACCTGCTAGATTGCCAAGGAAGGGAAGGGGAGTAAGCACAGCAGATTCTCTGCCAGCGTAGACACCAGTAAACCTGTACCGTTATTCAAAGTCAAATACTTCCAGGCCTGTGGGTCAGCAGCCACTGCCCTGAGGCACCCCACCCCTTGAAGTTTCCCCCTCCCTGGCTATGGTAGACCCAGACCCACCAACTAAATGGGTAACATTTAGCACAAGAAGGGATCCCAGGATGTCATTCTTACCTTCAGCTACTCTGATTCAGCAAGCCATACCACTTGTTAAAGACTTTGAACATTATCCCTGGCTATAAGTTACCTGGTCTCAACTGACTGAAGGAAAAAAAAAACACGGCAGGGGGGCAGTGACTCAAGTCTGTAATCCCAGCAATTTGGGAGGCCGAGGCAGGAGGAATGCCTGAGCTCAGGAATTTGCCACCAGCCTGGACAACACCGTGAAACCCCGTCTCTACTAAAATACAAAAAAAAAAAAAAAAAAAAATTAGCCAGGCATGCAAGGCGTGGCAGTGTGCGCCTGTAGTCCCAGTCACCCGGGAGGTTGAGGCGGAAGGATTGCTTGAACCTGGGAGAGGGAGGTTGCTCTGAGCGGAGATGGAGCCATTGCACTCCAGCCTGAGCAACAGAGCCAGACTCCGTCTGGAAAAAAAAAAAAAAAAACCCTAAACTAAACTCAGTGTTGAGGGTGACAAGAGTTCTGAAAGGCAGACTTGTCATTCAATTCCCACCTCCACTTCTTTCTCGCTGTCCTCCCCAAAGCCAGGAACACCCAGACCCCGCTGAGACCCTCTGGTACCTATTCAGAAGGTCCCACAATCACAGGCAGAGATTATTGCACTCTTTTATTTACAGAAAACACACATAAAGCATTTCAATGTTCATTTAGCAAACTGATCCACTCTTTTTTTTTCTTTTTGGCACAAAGAAATATCACAGATGGACCCCGAGATCAATCAGAAGCTCATAAGATTCATCAGTCATCACTGGTCCAGGGGCGGCCACGAGACTCAGACAGACAGACAGCATCACCACAGACTGGAAACAGAAACAGGTCCACGTTCACCTCACAGTAAAAATCTGCCTCACCGACAGGCAAGGGCGGGCAGGAGGGGGCAGTTTCGCTGCTCTAAGGGGGAAAGTGGGTGTCAGGGGCAGGAAGCAGGGATGGGGAAAGGATGGACACCATTCATAAATTAGAGACAAGTGGTCCTCTTGTTTGTATCCTCTTACCTTGAATAGTAAGACAGTGCAAAAACTAGATACCCGACCACTCACCCATTCAAAAGCTTGAGAAGTCGCCTCGCGGGTGCCCGTGTGCGTGTGTGGATGTGTAAGTGTGGTGCTTGTAAACATTGTCACCGTCCGCACAGAGACCCAATATCCGTGTGTCTGAATGGGGTGGGGTGGGGGCGGGACCCCACTTCACGCGCCCTCTGCCCCAGTGATTCCCGTCCAAGACGTAGTGCAAATTTCAGAGACAAAAAGGGGCAGAAGGGAGTGGGGTGAGCTGAGGGCAGGAGGGACACGAAGATGAGGTGGGGGAGGGAGGGGGAAATAAGGCAACAGTTAAAAACGGTCCATTTTATCAAAATCTACACCGTGCGCCTCCCGCCCCCACCCGCGCCGCCCGGGTCACGAGAAGGGGCGGAAGTCCCGCTCCTCCACCAGGCTGACCGAGGGGTTCTTCAGCTCCTCCTCCGAGGCGGCGATCTTGTAGCCCAGCTGGGCCAGCACCTGCTGGCAGGCGTTCTGGGCAAAGGCCACGATGTCGTAGGAGAGGCGGAAGCGCCACTTCTCGGCCGTGGCAGCCGAGTTTCGCACGGTGCCGTATTTGTGCTTGCCCAGGGTGGGGTCGCCCCGCGTGTTGTTCTGGATCCAGCGGGCCACGTGGCTGTCCAGCGGGATGCCCAGGAACCCGTAGATCTCCTCGGTCTTCTTCATGGGATTCCGGGCCAGGTCCTCGTAGCGCACCAACATGTACTTGCCCTTGAGCCACGGGGGCCGCATGAGGCCGGTGGACACGGAGTTGGAGAAGTCCTCGCACACCGTGGTCAGCTGCGTCACGTCCAGGTTGTAGGGTTTCCTCCCCGTGCCGTACCAGAGCCGCCAGAGCCGGTACGTGTCCCGGAAGGTCTCGCTGCGCGAAGCCAGAATGCCGCGGGGGTCTCGGACCAGCTGGATGACCTTGAGGTTTAACCGCGGGTCTTCCACCAGGGCGCGCAGGTCGTTCACCTCGGGCACGCGCACCGTCTTGATGGCCACGTGGCTGCGCTCGCGGCACGCCTCTGCCGCCACCGTCAGGTTGAGCAGCCCGCACTTGCGCACGCAGTCCCCCTCCTCCAGGACCAGGTCGGCTGGCCCCGGAGGGTCGCACACAGGCCGGGAGCAGAGGACCCGGCTGGCCCCGCGGCGAAAGATCCTGTCGGTGGTGTGGTTGACCGGCGGCGGCTTGATGTAGTTTTCCAGGAAGTAGAGGTCGCAGTCGTAGAGGCTCCGCAGGAGGTCTCGGCTGGCGCCCAGCATGACCCGCCGGTCGGCGGGGCTCTTGCCCTGGGTGAAGCGGGGGATGAGCGTGTTCTGGACGTGGTAGAGGGGCTCAAACAGGTAGAAGACGTCCAGGTGCTGGTTGAAGAGCTGGCCCACGAAGGAGGAGCCGCTGCGCGTAGTGGCCAGAATGAGGATGTGGGTCTTGCGGGAAAGGTTGTAGGCGAAGGTGGGGCTCTCCTCGCACAGTCGCTCGGCCAGCCCGGCCTCCGCCAGCCCGGGGCAGGTGTGAAAGGACTTGGCGGTGAAGGTGCGGATGGCCGTGTACTGGATGGCAATGGAGGCCAGGGCAAGGAGGAGGACGGCCTTCCAGGAACATTGCATGGCTGGGCACCTTCATGGGGCTGCTTCTCCACGGGGCGAGGTCTGCGGGCAAAGGCAGTCAGCGGTCAGGTGCCTCCACGGTAGGGGCACTGGCTTGTCCCTTGGAAGAGCTGGTCTCCAGGGGACCCAGGGAAACGCCGGACTCCCTGTCCAGTGCTCACCACACACCTTGAAGACCTAAGCGGCTTCTACACTAGACTACCCTTCTCTGGGGGACTCCTGGGAGCTTTGGGGAGCTGAACAAATATTCCTTGCACCCACTGCAGACAGCTGTGGAAGCCTCCTATCGTGAGCTCTGAGTTCCTTAGAGGGGCCTCACAGGGCAAGAGCTTGACTCTCCCTACTCCCGCACTGAGAGAATGGCCAGGGCCTGCCTCAAACCCCGCCCCTCCCGCCTGCCAGCGTTTCCCACCCCCAGGAGCTGGCGCCCAGTTCTCCAGGTGGTCCTCTTTCCTCTCCTCTGCCCATCCCTAGGGGGAAGAAGAGTCCCTATCAGGTGCCTCCATCTGACCCCAATCGCCTGAGTGTGAAGGACCCCTGCAGACCACGGTCGGTGAGTTGCCAGCACGGCCAGGCAAGGTGGACAACTGTGTCAAGCCCCCTCCCACTCATGGATGCAGGTGACCACTTACTCCAGATGTGGACGTCTGGGGCTCATGGAGTCTCTAAGAGTCTCTGGAGCAGAGACAGGTGTCCAGGGTCTGCTGAGAGGCGACCCTTCCCAGCACCCAGGGTCTGCTCCTAGTCTCTAGGGACAAGGGTCCAGGCCATGGAGGTCACATAACGCCCACTGACACAGTGAACTGGCCTGCAAAGATCTTAGGGAGTCAGGGGCCTCCATTCTTACCTCCTGTGCCCCCTCTGCCCACAGAAGGGGGACTGGGGAGGGACCATGGAGAAGCAGAAAGAGCAAATGGGGCTGCTTAGAGTCCAGGGTCAGGAGCCCACCTGAGCATCCTGCAGGCACCCTCTCTGGAGGCTGGCTCAGCTACCAGACCTCAGTGGGGACTGGGGCTGCCCCCAGGGAGAATGCAGGAGGGCTCAACCACTTACCAAAGAGGGGCTGCTCCAAGCTGGGGAGTCCACAGCCACCAGCGTCTCCAGGTCCAGCTGGCAGTCCCAGCCAGTGCGGCAGCCCTGTGGCCAGCAGACTGCAAGAGACAGGGAGGGGAAGGGCTCAGAAGGTGGAGCTGGGGTCTCAGTGCCTCCTCCCCACTCCTTCTCTTCTGTGTCCTGTGCCCCACAGTCTGCCCCGAAGGCCAGGCAATAAGGGCTCTCTCTGCCTGCTCTCCAGATCCATCCCTGACTCAGCGCCCCAAACAACCCAGTGCCATCTCTGATCCTCGGAGTGTGGCCCTCTGAGTCCTGGACTGTATCCCACTTTTACCTTCCTCGCCCACCCCACCACATCCTCCTAATAAACCGCAGTCCTCTGCTCACACCAGAACCCAGCAGGCAGGGAGGCTGGCAAGGTTCTGCATTTTAAATCCATGAAACAATCCTAACCCTTTAAAATTCAACTTGTGCAGCGATTCCCCCAGGAAGCAGGTTAGCAGAAGTCAGCAAGGGCAAGGGGGCTCACCCCAGGCCTCCAGGTCAAAAGGGCACCTCCAACGCAGCTGGGGAGAAACTCTTCTTCAAACCACACCGAAGTGACACCAGCTACCTGAAACTCAAAGCAAAAGTGGACCAGGGAGCATTCCTGACCTTGATGCAACTCACAGAGTCTGAATTAAAACACCAAGATCATCACATTATCTCCGTTAACATCTATTGTGCCAAGCCCCTCCCCTGCATCAGCTCATGTCCTTCTAGCAAGAACCAAATGTAAAAGTCAGTATCTGCCCACTTCACAGGCGAGAAAGCCGAGGCACAGAGGTAGAGGAACCGGCCTGAGCTCTCAGGCCTGCTTTAACCCTCATCTGGTAGGTTCCCCAGAGTCCAGCTCTTTCCCTCTAAGGAGATTTGGCTTCCTGTTCCTCCAGCTTAAACGTATTTGGCCTCCAAACATGCATTCCGTTACTGGCCCCAGCCCATTTGTGAATCAGCATGACGGGGACTGGGCAGGCAGATGCTTCTGAGACTTAAAGCATGTTCCTCCCTTTGCTATCTGGTCCTGTGGATCTGTTGGTTCACAGCTAATGGGGTGAACTCAAGTGCTTTGTGAAGATTCTTCCCACACCCCACTATTTGGCATGACTCCTTTGGGAGTGGGTGAGTGGATCCTCATTTCCCAAACCCGCAGTGCTGCCTGGCTCAGCTCACCCAGCTTCTAGCACCGTGTTATTCCCCATAAGCACTCTCGGAGGTCAGGGTCCTCACTCCCACTGTTCAGATGGAGAAATCAAGTCCTGTTTTAAATAGGAAATTTCACTTCTTTAGGAATCAGTGTCAGATCACCAAGTGGCAGGCAAGAGGGAAAGGGGCGCAGTTTAGATTCTTAGGAACTTCTCAACGTGATCAGAGAAAAACCGCAATCCCAACCACACTGCATCCCACCCCAACCTCATCCCATAGTGGCAGAGGATGCCGGTCTCCATCAGGGGGCTGGGCCAGGTACCTGGGGAGAAAGACCCCTCTACTTTAAACCCGACTCCCCTGCAAGTGCAGGCCTGCTCTGCCCAAGTGCCCCAAGGCGAATGTGAATGGCTTTCAAGAAACAGACAGGGAATATCATCAATAATAGTGCCAGGTCATATTTTTAAGTTATTTAGGAGTCTGTTCTTTGGCTGCAGCATCATTTCATTTGGATGTACTTCCTTTGTATTTATTCACAGACATCTATCAGAACTCCTGTATGTGCTGGGCACTGTTCTAGATGCTATGGGTCAAATAATACCAAGGAAGGCAAGCACTTGCTGGCCATTCACAATGTTCCTCCCAGGCACATGCTTCTTTCACAGCCATCAGCTCATCGCACCCTCATGCCAGTTCTATGAAGTTGATACTGTCACAATCCCATTTTACAGATAAGGAAGCTGAGGCCCCTCAAGGTTAGATAACTTCCCCAATCTCACACCCCTAATAAGGAGCCAGGATTCCAGCCCAGGCAATGTGCTAGGAAGTCCATGTTCAAATCCTTTTCCCTAATTCTGCTCATATTCCACCCTCCTTGGTCCTCATCAAGACAGGAAACAGAATCCTTAAGGAGTCTTCACTTAATTCTGGGGTTCCAATTCCAAAAGCAGAATCCACCCTAGGGTTTTATTTAAAGAGGAACATCTTGCCATCTTGCTAGGGAGGGGGCCATTTGAGTTTCTTCCCCCAACTCTTCCTCCACCCAGAGAAACTTAAGGCCAGGACTGGAAGCTGCTGCTTTGCTAATAAATCAGAAGTCACTGAAGCAGCTGGATGTTATAAATCCCTAAGACAGCGAGACTCAGCCTCATAAGGTGCGGCCTGGACACCGAGGAGGGGAATGCGTTTGAAGGCCCAGCCACAGGCCATTCCCTTGTACCCCCGGGGAGGGCAAAGCCTGGGCCTGGGAATGGGAAGATGGGGGAAGTCCAGCCCTCCTGGAAATGCCCCCACTCTCCCAACCTGGCAGAGCTGGGCCCGGGGCTGGCCAAGTGTCCTTGGTATGCTAAAGGCATCTGCCCTGGAAACCAGAGGCCCTGGGGCCAGGTCCTGTTGTTTCCAAGGGAGCCTTAGCCACTGCAAAAGACTCCTCAATGCCCTTATCCTCCAAGCCAAACCGTGGCGCCCAGAGCCCATCCCCTAGGCTTCTAGCAACCTCTGGCCTGGCCTCCCTCTACCTCTGCTTAGTAAAAATCCAAGCAAACCTTGGATACAGGAGACCAGGATCTATCATTTCTGTTAGAAAGCAGGCAAGTTGGTGAACCTTTAGTCTCCATAGAAAGCTCAGATTTCATTATCAGCCAACTTGAGATGAGGGCACAGACTGGGAGCAGTGAACAGCTCTATGTTAGAGAACTGTAATTCACAGTAAGCGCTCACACCCTGAACCATGCCTACCTGGATCTGTCACTCAGCAGGTGTGTGGGCCTGTGTGATTCACCAGCTGTCCCTGAGCCTCAGTTTCCCCATGGGCTGGTAAGAATTGAAGGTCTTAAAGCATTTAGTCAATGCCAGGCATACAGACACGATCCAGCCTCTGACACCAGCCCTGCTGATCCCAGCTCAGCCACTTACTGGCTGAGAGATCTTGGCTAGCTTTCTTCATCTCTCTGGGCCTCTGTGTTCACACGTGCAAAAATGGGGATAATTATAACAAGGCTGTTGTGAGGACTAATTAGTGAGTACAGTGCCTGACGCAGGGTAAGCACTCACTAAATGTCAATTAGTATCGTCATCAGTAAATGTCTGCTTTGCTTTCCATCTCAGGAAAGGGCCTCGAACAAATCATCCCGCAGCCCACGGGGTCTGGTTCTACCCACCGCCCCTTCTTCCTGCAGCTTCTCTCCTGGCCTGGGAACTTCTTCCTGCTGAGCCACCGCAGTGGCTTTCCTGCTGCCCTCTAGTGACCACATCCTGCGGTGCCGCCTCGTAGTCCCGTCACCGCTGCTGTATTCAGAATTCTGGGACTGTTGGCTACAACCTGCTGTGAGGATGCAGCCAGCAGGAGGTGATGTCGCAAGATGCAGTGAGGTGTGAGGATGGCACGCCCACCCGGGCTGCGGCCTCTGCTCGGTACACCCCCACCTCAGCCGCACCGGGAGAGCCCAGCAGCAACAGGCAGTCTCGCCTCCTCCCAAGGGCCTCTCCTGCTCATCTCATGGTGCTCTGTCAGGGAAGAAGCACAGACCTGAATGTCACAGGCAGGATTGGCCCACACAGCCTCTGCCTTTCCCTGGCTGGGTGACCTTGGACTCACCCCCTGGCCTCTCTGTGCCTGGGTTACACCATAGATCCAGTGATGACTGAAGGGCCTCCCGGCTCTAACCCTGGTGTTCTCTATAATCCCGGAAAGGCCCCAGACTTCATTCTCAGGCACAGTTGGGGCCACCCACACAGCAGACAGGGGAACCCTCCATTGGGAATGGGAAAAACCCAGTCTTCTTCCAGGAAGATTCTAGGGCTGGGCATCTCTGTCCCCCACTCAGCCTGATCTGTGGCAGACCCAGGGAGTGGAGGCCTTAGAACCTAGCGGTGCTGCCCTCTGCCAAGTTAGCCCCACATTTTGCTGTAGAGAAATCCCGTCAAACCCAAGGCTGAGGCCTTGTTTCACCTGTTCTGGGCCACAGACCCTTCGAACCACAATCCCTCCCCTTAGAAATGCCACTAGTGGCCGGGCGCGGTGGCTCAAGCCTGTAATCCCAGCACTTTGGGAGGCCGAGACGGGTGGATCACTAGGTCAGGAGATCGAGACCATCCTGGCTAACACGGTGAAACCCCGTCTCTACTAAAAAATACAAAAAAAAAACTAGCCGGGCGAGGTGGCGGGCGCCTGTAGTCCCAGCTACTCAGGAGGCTGAGACAGGAGAATGGCCCGAACCCGGGAGGCGGAGCTTGCAGTGAGCTGAGATCCGGCCACTACACTCCAGCCTGGGCGACAGAGCGAGACTCCGTCTCAAAAAAAAAAAAGAAAAAAAAAAGAAAAAAAAGAAATGCCACTAGTGCCCACAATTTTACACACACAATTTAGAAGTTTCCCAAACCTCTGAAAGCCCACGCATGGACACCCCACCCTTTCCTAGAAGCTTAACCCCTTCCTTATTAGCATGTCCAGGGGATTATCTTTCCAACTGACTATATCAGAGAAGCCTCCTCAGACATGAATATACTGATAGAAACAGTCACTCAGCATATGTAAGTTTCAAAAGCTAGAGCCAGAAAACACATGTGTAATAGTACACCACCATTTCAGATTTGTTTAGGGAGGCGGACATGTATATTTGCCTATATGCATAAACAATCACTGAAAGAGCTTGCACTGAACTAGTAACAGGAGATGCCCCAGATGGAGGGGGCCTCGAGAAGACTGAGGTAGGAGGAGACACTGTCTACACTGAACGTTTTTATTCAGTTTGAGTTTATTAATTTTGGGGGACACAGTGAAGCCACTCCATGTAGGAAGTAGAGAAGTGATTGATGACAGGGTGTGGTACTGAAAATCAGCCCTGGCATCTCACTGTGCCTCCCACCCTACCCCCGGGCACTGCCAGCCAGCTCTCCCCCCCCCCATTTCCAAGGCACCAGGGTCAAAGACACTGCTTTTCCACCAGAAATGGGCTTTGTCTGCTCAGGTGGGCCACTAAGGACAGTAGGCAGCTGGGGACTGCTGAGACACAGGGCCAGAGCTGAACTGAAGCTGGATTTCAGAGGGGGCCTGGGGCTACAGGAGCAGCTGAGCCCTGGGTTGGGGAAATGACTCTTCTCCCAGCAAATCCTCCCTGAAAAACTACTGTGAAGCCCTGGGGGATGAAGAAGCAACACAGTGAGGGCGGGGGAAGAACCTGAACATAGTCTTTCCGGACAAACTCAGGAGCCGTGATGAATGGGGCCCCAAGGCTCTGGGGTCCCAAGGACTGGAGCAAGGTATAAGGGAATGGGGCAGGGAGGGAGGAGCTGGCAAACAGGCCTCTAGGATGGAGACTGCAAAGAGGAAATGCTTACTCCCTGGCTCTGACGTAGCCAGCACTGATGCACCATAAATGTTTGTTTAGTTAAGACTAAAACACATAAAACAGCAAGGTGTTTTTCTCTAAGGAAAACGAGGTGATGAAAATGAGGCAAGGCAAGGGGAAAACAAGAGTGTAAGAGTCTGAAAGAACCAGAGGCCAAGTCAGTGTACAAGAGTCACACCATGTGTGGGCTACTGAGCTAAGTCAGAGCTTCCTGGCAGCCAGTAGGAAAAGGAAAATATTTCATTTACTTGTTTCACAGGACCCATGAGATAAAGATTAAAGCATCCACTCAAGAGATATCCAGCTATTCCTGACACTGAATTCAGTGCAAGATTTCTCCCGAGGGAGTTCTTACAGAGCCCTGTGCGTATGCCACCATGAACCCATCCTCAAGACTTTGTACCTAAGAAATCCAAAGGCGAGTTTCATGGGACAGTGTCCTAGAGCATCCTTCCATGTGGGCAGTATGCCAGCACACAATCCAACCAGTGCAATCTTCTAGGGGGTTGAGCTGCTGGGATCCAGACTCGGCCTCTGTGGTCTAGGTCAGCCCAGTGGACCCCCTTCTCTTTGGGCTCATGCCCACCTCAACTTGAAACACTGTGAGGTCTATGGACCCTCTCTCCAGAACCTGGACCACCACAAACATGGTACTTGTGAACAATCCCTAGAGTCCCTGGGCCCCACAGGCAGAACCACTACATCTTTTGGGCACCTCCAGTGGGGACAAGCTCTCACAGTCATGGTTTCCAAGACAAGCACCTGGAGAGCGACGGGTCTACCGATTTTTCACTATCAGCAGGGATGCCCAGCTGCCTTCTGTGAGATCCGGTGTCTCCAGGGCAGAGAACTCCAATGTCCACATGATACCCATGGATGTCTCAAGCCTCCTGGAGAAGGTGCCCACAGGCATTCGGGGAAGCAGTCTGGGGGGTGTTTAGGCACCCCAGCTGTGGGGCCACAGAGGCCTGGATTTGGGAATCCGACTGCTGTTGCCTTATAGCTATGAGGCATTGCACAAGGCACTTAACCTCTATAGGCCTCACTTGTCCTTATGTAGGAAATGGGAGAAACGATCACAGAATCTAATACTTGGGCAGTGAGACAGAAGGCCGATGGGTGCCCACAGCTTAACACAGTGGTAGGCACAGAGCAAATGCTTGTTAAGAGCCATGACCATGATTTTTATGGACTACTAAATGCACAAAGAGGCACCATTGGCCTGGAAATGTTTTTAAAAGTTAAAACAGATGCCACAGCCTGCTCCACTGAAGCGCCAGCAGCCTGCGTGGTTGGAGACCCTGACTTGTGGCTGCAGAGACCTTGCCTGGGATAAGGAAGGCACCTCACATCCTGCCGTGGAGGGTGGGAGTCAGAGGGGGTGGTCCCAAACCCAACCTGAGGGGAAAGTTGTCCCTAGCAGTGGGGAGAGTGGCTGACCTCCTGGCCACGACACAAGGCCCCAGTGTGCCCAGCTCCTCTGGGGGAGGGATGAGTCAGAAGGTCCCGGTTCCCTGTCTCAGGCCAGTCCTGGTACAGCCTGGCCTGTGGTAGGCGGGACTCTACAGCCCCGACACTGGGCGGAAAAGCCCCGGTTTCCTGTCCCCCGCCCCACCGAGAAGCCACAGCCAGAGTTGGAATAGTACCGAGGCCCCACCCCCTGGACACGGGGCTCCGGCCCATCCTCCCAGCTTCAAGGAGGAGAAACATCAACAGGAGCTGGAACTCAGGCAGCTGCTGCCGGCCAGGTTGGAAGAGGGGCCCGCCTGTCTCTGGATCCAGGAGTCTCCAGCCTGGGCCACCTGCACATTAGGCCATTAGGCCTGGCTGGCCCCATGGGGACGAGGACTGCAGGTGGAGAATCAATAGCATCCTGAGCCTTGAGACTGTCACATGGGATGGAGGAGGCTGCAGACGCGGATACTCAGAGACTATCACAGATGTGGCTCCCGTCAGGGGATGCATCCCACAGGCCAGGTGCCACTGCCACCTTTCACAGATGAGGAGCAGTGAGGCTCAGCAAGTGTGGGAACTTGTTCAATCATGCACCCCTAGCCTGCGGCGGCGCTAGGATTCAGAGTTGGTTCTAAAGAATCCCAAGCCCTGGCCCTAATCACAGAGCTAAAACCCCCAGGCCACACCAAGAGTGTCACCCAGCCAGAGGGAGGGAGAGGGAGCACCAGGGCCAAGGTTGCCACCAGGGTCCCAGGACACATTGGTGCGGATCTCAATCACAGCATTCACCCCCGACCCACATATTGGTGCATCTGATACCTACTGGCCATTCCCCAGGATCAGGTTCCTGGGGCATCCACTGGTGGGGATTGGGGGCTGCCAATGCGGCCCTTCCTGGTTGGTTCCCCTGGCATACGGACAGTTGTGTGCCATCTCACCGCTTCCCAGAGGGTTCTCCTCTGAATGACAAGAATGAAAATGATCCCAAGTGGGTGTGGACATGGGACTGCTGCACCTGATAGGCAGAAGCCCAAACACACCGTGCTCCCTACACGGTGGCTCCGGGTCTGGGCTAGACAAGCAGTGGGAGCTTTGAGTGGTTTTATGACCAGGGAGCCCAGGAATGCCCAAATCCTATGCCACCAAAAAGACACCAAAGAATGTCTTTATTACCATCTGGCCTGAAACAGTCTGGAATGGGGCATTGGGTTTGGGCTGTCCACCCAGTTGAGGCTTCCCTGCTCTCTAAGCCCAAAGCTTATCACCAGCCCACAGCTGGTCCCAAGGATGCCCTTGGGCCGAGATGCCAGGGAGGCTCACCCTGTCACCCCTCTTCTGCTGGGTGAGAAGCATTAGGAGGGGCCACAGCTCCACCCACTGGGCATATGGCCAACCAGATGAGTGTCTCTGCCTGCCATCAACAGGGACCTCCATTGTAGAACGCAATGGCGGCTGCTCATATACAATCGCGGCCTATGTACCTTTCACGCCTCACCTCATTGGATCCTCTTCGCATGCCTAGGGGTAAGAACTACAGCTGAATCAATTTCACAGGTTCGGGACTGAGGCTCAGAGAAGTTAAGGGATTTGTTCACGCAACTCGGAAGTGGCAGGAGGAGAAGGGATTTCAGGCTGTGGGGGTTGTGTGTGAGGTGCATATTCGAGTGAGGTCCTCATCTCTCCAAAGCTTTCCCTAAAGGCTTCCCTTCCAACCCCACTCTGACCTCCTAAAATGTCCAAATCACTCCATTCAGCTTTGTTGACCCTTTTTGTGTGTCATAAATGGCTAGGAGCAGCATAACAGCATAAACAGAGGGTGAAACCCAGACCTGAGTCCTGGGCAGCCTTAACCCTTTCTGATTCTCAGGTACCCACGTGAAGTGAGGTCACACACCTCTCCCAGGGCAGGAGAGGGGCTTAAATGGCATCTGGCATATAAAGCTGTTAGCATAGTGGCTGGCACACAGTAATCTCTCAATCAATGATACCTTCAGAATGTCTGCAGCAGGCTCGTCTGTCTGTTTCACCTGCCCTGCAGAATCCTTGAAGGAGAGCACCAGCCCCCCTTCATCTCCCTCCCCTAGCTCTCTCCTATCCCTCCTCCCCAAGTGCCCAGCTTGGGGCCCCTACACACCGCAGGGACTCAGTGAGTCCTAAACAACTCACTGACACTGGCAGAAACTCGGGAGAAAAGGAGCCACGCCTTCTTCCCCATCCCTGTCAGCATTCCTGACAATTCCCAGCCCACCACCTTCCAGCTCT